ATCTTACAACCATTCATTTAGTGACTATTCAAAGTTTATAATGGCCCTCAAAAAAATGACTAATAACCAGTCATCACATTTACAATTGTTGCAGCATCCTCACCATCACGTGATCCAAATTTGGATCTTTTGCAGCTGTCATGCATTTATAATGGTTGTAGTGTCCCAGGGTCATGTGATCACCACTTGCAACTTTCCCAACTGTCTTGCTTAATGATCACATGATTCATTTAACAACTATAGTGATTTCCTGAACAACTGTGGCAAAAAAGTTAGATGTGACTAACAACCGCCTGACTTGAAATGAAATGAAAATTCTGGTATCAGTTGTGTTGTAAGTTAAGTTCTTCCTGTATTGGCCCTATCAAAAAAAATGGCCTAAAATTATTTGATTATATATTGGTATAAAAATACACAGTGGAAGAAATATGTATTTTGGAAAAACAGTCAATTGAAACATTTAAACCCATTATAAAAATATGCAACTTATTTCATATGAAGTTCAGCAATTGTAAAAACCTACATATTGATGATCTGCTGTTTGTTCATCATTCAGTAGGGAGATTAGAACTATAACTAAGGAGTAGGACCATAACACAGAATATTCATGTAGCTCCATGATAGTATTGAGGGATGGGATCATGACTGAAGAAAAAAAAGGCCATGTTTTTGATACAAACTTGCTCAGTCTCCAGAACTTTTAAGAATTTCTATATCTATATTCAATCTTGGAGAACTATTCTTGGTCAGAGTAAAAGAAGCTGGGTTAGAAGGACCTCCAACCATCATCAGAAAACAGTTTCCTGAAAGAGTGCAAAATATATCTCCTAAATGCTATTCCACTGTTGTTTAATAAAATGTGGTGGGTTTATTGCTGATATACAAATCACAGTTATTTGGTTTTTGTTGTCAGCAATACTCAAATGATTTAATATTGTTGGATAGTTGCTATGATTCATTGAAGATGTTGCATAGTTGTTATATTCAGAAGAATCTCCATTCCCCCATTTCATTTATACCCTTTTCCACATTACTGCCTGTTAAGGTGGACTTTTACAAAACATTGGAAATAAGCTGCTATTTAAAACAATATTTTCTGACTTATTTGGGGAGAAAGGTTATGATTGAAAGGCTTATATGTATGTGGCTTCAAAATGATGCACGTTAAAATGAATTGTATTTTATATTTTACTTTATTTGGCAGACTCAGGGGAAAGGAGGAATTTTCTCACAAGACTATGCCATATGCTTGGTTGCATATGAAATGGACAATGTAGCAGAAGTTGCCTGTTTTTAATTTTTCCTTTCCTCCATGGACTGTGATATTTTATGGAAGAATCATACAAAAGGGACTCTCTCTCTCCCCCCCCTCTGTCTGTGTGTGTGTGTGTGTGTGTGTGTAGTAAAATTAGAACCAGATAATTCTGACTTCATGGTAAATTTAATGTGCAATCCAGCAAGCTTAACAGATCTCCCATTCCCTTCCATTCCCATACACTCTTTGACAATTGGAGAGTACATAAAATCATAAATAAAATATCAGATGCTTACCCCCATTTATTTTGAATTATGCAAATTGTATGAGTGTAAAAATAAGATGTTGTTACCTAACACAATTGCAAGGTAAGTTCAGTTGGGCTTTAAAAAATCCAAAGGAGCAAGGGAAAGAGTTATTATTTTCTTTTATTGAAATTCTTAGGAAAAATAGCTTTGCATGTGGAAGTAACTAAGCGGTTAAAAAAAAAAGGACTGCTTCTTTCTTATTATTTGGATCAACCAAGTGTTGGTTTACAACAGAATTGACCAACTGGCTTGTTGCCTGATCCTGACATCATGTGCTAAAAGAGCTAACTGGCTTTCATGCCCAAGGCAAAACTAGAAGTCACAGGCTCCTGGTTTCTAGCTCTTGCTTTGTTTGTGTCTATGTGTACAATTTATATCTATGTCTGTATGTGTATGCATCGGTCTGTCTATCTAACTATCTATCTATCATCTGCCTTTCATCCATCCATCCTTCCTAAAGGTGCTTAGTGGGGAACAGCTCCAGTTAATCATATTGAGGCTTACTCTAAAAAATAAATGCAGCAGGTACATATGCACATACTGTTTAGAAGATACTGGGAAAAATGTTTACAGAATTCAGTTGAACTTTCATTAAATATGCAGCAAACTAGTTCAGTGCTATTTAAATAAAGTTCACACCAAATCTTTCAAGACTAAACATTTCATTATTGCATAACTTTCATCAATCAGTTCATGAAATATCATAGTGAATTACTGTCAACATGCCAGGGACAGTGGCCAATTTTTTCTCTCAAATCTTGTGCAACAGTTTGATCTGTAGCAACGTATACTCCAAAAAGCTTCCTAAGAGTAGAGCAATTTGACAGCAGAAACAATTACCCAGAGAGGTAGTTAGGGCCCCTTCACTGGATGTATTCAGCAGTGAACTCCCTTTCGCTGGCTAAGGACATACAAATAACTCTGCTGAATCAGCCCAAGAGTCATCTTAATTCAATAGCTTGTTTGTCACAATGTTTAAACCAGAGGTCTCTGGCTTCTCACAAGCTGGAGAGATGTCTTATCCTGTTGCCTTAATTTGAGGAATTAAATGGTGTTTTCTCTATTTCTATGAATTATAGGCCTGCTAGAACTGTTATGAACTGGGAGCACACTGCGAGTTCAGAAGTGGTCCTAAGAATAGTATTTGACTACCTGCATTGTCTCTTCAAGCAGCATTTAGCATGGACATCTGGAGTAGGAAAGAAAAAGGGGTAAATGATACAGTATATGGCGTCTTAGGTGATCCTTGAGCTTGGTTGTTTTCTTGCAGACATTTCACTACCCAACCTGGTAACATCTTCAGGATAAATATTATCTTCTTTTGATAAAGCATGTGTTGTAGTACAAAGGCATATTGCAGGAGTGTCCAAGCTTTGCTGGCTGAGGAATTCTGGGAGTTGAAGTCCACAAGTCTTAAAGTTGCCAAGGTTGGACACCCCTGGCATATAGGAAGGATTGGCAGCCCAATTCTGCCAGTACTTGCAGAGAACAGGACTGTATTCACATAACACAGTAAATCAGAATTTCCCAGTCTGAGGGCCTGTCAAGAGAGACAGCCTCCAAAAATATGAATTTTAAAAATGCAATATGATAGGAAAATTATTAAATTTGGATACTAATTATACAGTACTAACTGGTTTAGTTTCAATCAACACTAAATGTAATGAAACAAAACCAATTTTAGATTCTATCCTTGCTTTATTCCTCTTTTTGGAGTGTAATCCAAACCACATCTGGATATGCTACTAGAGTATGTGTTACAAACCAAAATGGCTACATTCACATGTGGTGTGGTGTGTAATCTAACCTAAAAGTAAGAAATATAGCATTATATGCTGTCGAGAGGCAGGGAAACAAAGTGAATGATTTGCTAATTTAATCTTTCAACCAAAGCTACTTATTTACTAACTAGCCAGGGTGATCGTGTTCATGCATCAAACCAACAAGCAGACCACAGTGTTTAATTATTTCTACAGCATCCTTTCTTATAATTTTAATAACACAGGAGTAGCTGGGTAGGGATGCAGAGTGCATGGTTACAGATGCTCCTTTTAGTATTTTAGTTTTAAAATACTGTGTCCTTTTCTGGGAAGGTCAAAGTGGTTCATAGCCTTAAGTAGGCATATAAATTATATATGCTTCTCCCTCTATGTGTATATTTATAATACACACACACACACACACACACACACACACACACACACAACAAGAAACTCAATTTTATGAATTAAAATGTTAAATTGCGATATTGTGAGTATTAATCTATATCAGGGATTGGCAATTAATTTTCCGAAAGGGCCACATGAGAAACTGGACTGTTGAAGAGGGCTGAACCAACAGGAATACACACATGGTGTAGTAATTTACATTTGATTTTTCATTTTCGATTGAACCTTGTGGGCCAGTTAGGGAAAGTCAAAGTGGCAAATGTGGCAGGGAGAGGGGCATAAAATGTCAATGTCTGAACTATATTATCATTCATGACAAAAAGTTTTATTTATTTGCTGAATCAGAAAGCAGCTATAAAATAATGACTGATATTTAGAGGGAAGAAATATTAAGTGCTCCTCAGTTGAACGATTACATTGCATCTCAATTTCTTCAAGATCTGGGTTTAAAATCATCCAGTTGTACTTTAATAATTAAAGTAATTATTATTTTAAAGTAATTAATTAAAAGTAAAGTAATTATTAAATAATTAGACTGAATAGCCTCAAACCTATCTTCTCTTCTTCTGACCTCACCATTCAGAAAACCACCCAGGAGCTGCAGAATTATTTCAAAAAATATGAATGCAGTTAAAATAATAAACACATGCAGAAGTGCAGTGCAATCAAATCGAAATATAAGGAACCATTCCTCCTAGGCAGGGAATGGATCAGATACAGGAAAGTCAGTTTTCTCCCTACGACAAAATACACATTTCTGTTCCTAGCAACATGCATCACAATTTCTTGGTGGACAGTATGCACGTTTTATGCCAAATGGTATTTTCCTGATGCATTTCCTTCAAAAATAATTGAGGTACCTATCTAGCTACCCTAGTTGCAATTCTATAAGCGTCTTCCATGGAAGAGGTCCCATAAAATGCAAGTGTTTATTCGTCCGTAAACCGAAATAACAGGAAGATTATTATGAACACCCAGAACGCCTAAAACGAACTTGCTTCTTTTCGGGGGCGCTGCAAGAATCGTGGGTAATGATTTAATTCCCCGACTTCTGAAACCACTTCCTAAAGCTTCGCCTTCCACCCAAGGCTATATTACCCCCGAAGTATTGTCCCCATACATCGCCAGACCGCCACCAGCCCGCCCTTTATTTTGCATTGGCCGTAACCACCCTCCAAACCCGCCTTCCTCGTCTGCTCAGCCAGCGCCCGCGATTTCAGTGACCTCGCTTCGCGTTCCTTGACGAGGACGGAGATAGTTTGTCCCTAGCGGCACTCCATCCCGGAAGCAGCTGTTCACACCATCATGGCGGCGGTGCTGCTGCTGCTGCGGGAGACCTCAATGACAACGGCTGCGGCGAGACACCTGCTGCGCGGGGGAGGAGGAGGAGGAAGGAGCGAAGCTGTCCTCGCCATTGGGGCCAGGTAGAAGGGGCGGGTGGCTCCTTGGGTAGACGGATCCCCCCCCCCATCGCATCTTTGCCTGCCCACTTGTCCTCTGACCCGCGAAAGTCGGAGAAGTGAAGGCCGCACCGGCAACGTTTCTCCGGCTGTAAAAGCTGCGTTCCCCATTTGGAATCCCCTCAGGAGCCCCCGGCGAAGCGGACTTTATCCCGCCCTCTGCCACCTCTGAGATTGGAGGGAGGGGTAGCAGCAGGCAGGCTGTCAAAAGAAAGCAGACGATGCGGCATCATGAGTAGAAACCAGGCGGGGATGCTCCTAAATAGTAGAATTTCTCAGGCGTGCGTGAAACGTTTTGCGTGTTGATCGGATTCCTACTACACGTGGTTGCAGGCTGAAACAGGGAAGCTTGAAATTACGCAATGGAGGCTATAGGGCTGTGTCGTCATCAGTCCAAATCGGATGGTCACAGCAGTCATTCTGATACCTTGTCTGATTCTCTGCAGAAGGAGAAAAAAATGAAAACTATACTTTTTGTGTCTATGATGAAAGTTTGGTTTCAGTTTATTAATATGTATGCCCTTCAAAGCTTCATAATATATATGTGTGTGTGTGTATCTGGTTATTCGGATATATTTTTTATATAATATAATATAATATAATATAATTAATATAATATAATATAATATAATATTATAATATAATATAATATAATTAATATAATATAATATAATATAATATAATATAATATAATATAATA